CCTTCAAGGAGGGGATGTCCGTAATGCTAGGGATGCCTGCGATGACGATGTCAGGCCCGAGGTCAAGTTGGCCAATTATCGAGAGCGCGGAATTGTTGTTGAATCGCAGGTTGACTGGGTTGTCGGCGGTCCCGATGACCAAGTCTACTCCGCCATCGAGAAGGTTGGCATAGCCGAAAGTAGAATTGGGGATCTGTGCAAGACATAAAATCGGCGCGCCAGAGAGCCAGAGGTAAGAACCGCACCTGAGAGAATGTAACGTTCACACCCTGCTCGGTGAAGAACCCAAGCTGATTAGCGACAGAGAACGTCGCTGACTCCGTGAACGCTGAAACAGTGAAAGGGTCCAGCGTCTGACAGCTGGCTGAGCCCACAAGGCACAGGAGTGCTGCTGCACCCAATCCCCAGATCATCGTAGTGGGAGGTGTGATGCCGTCGAGCACAGTGCGAGTGCACGTCCACTCATATTTATAGCTGACGTGCCCGGACGCCCAATAGTTACGTTGTTTATAAGGGTGCGCATGGGAGTTTTGACAAGGAGAGAAGCATACCGGGGCGAAGCTCATGGGAGTCCGAAATCGTGCTGCAAAAGATGATGATCATTTTACAAAGGAAAATACCTAGAAATGATCGCTTCAAAAGCTACGTATGACGCGAGCAAGTGTAAAACCTCGTGCTTTGACGTTGAACGCAAGAGAAGCGAGAGTCAGATGCTTCTTGTAGGGACGGAAGTGAACAAGCAGCCTGAGATTTTCCCATTCTCTTAGAATGGGTTGTGTCGACCCTCCTAACACGTGAAACCACGTGATGTATTCTAGGCAGGCCCATGAACAACTCAAGTCTAGAAAGAATATCGGGTATTCATTGTCGATATCCCTCGGTTACAAACGTGACAAGTACCAGTACTCGAGTACAATAGATCAGGCTGTACGAGTAGGGGCGCAGCTCTGCAATCTGTGTGTTTTCGGCACGCACCCAATACGGCCCACGCGGAGTACATCCATCCCGAACGTCATGCCCTATTCAACGAGCTCAACAAACAGGGTGAAGTGTGTCACGCACCCGAGCGTAGTGCGCTGCACTTGACGAGCGTGTCAAGGTCGGCATGCGATACAAGGCGTTTCGTCCTCAGCTACGGCAGCTGGGGTCTGCGCCTCTTCTTTCTCCTTCGTTTCCCCTCCTCCCCTCCCCTCTCCCCAGTCGCTAAGAAGCCCGCCGCCTGCAGGCATGATGAACTCCGCCTGCGCACGGTCCGACGACGCGTGGGCGTCAGCGGCGGGAAGAGGATGCGGCGGCCGAGTGGCCCACATGCGGGGTCGTGCCGGGTGAGGTGCGCGAGGAGCACAGTGACAAGCTGGAAGGACTCCATTGCGGAGCGGTCTGGCGGTGCGCGGGGCAGCATAAGCCCAAAGAGAAGCGGCGCCACCGGGCTACAGCTGTAACTGGTGGGCTCCCCGTCGAGGGGGCGTGGATAGGGGCATGTCTAAGACGATCACTTCAAGTTCTGTGACGTGGTCTTTCTGGATGAAGTTCTGTGGGTAGTGTCAGCGAGCGGGTATTAGATAGATGTACTGGACGGATGCCAAATGTGGAGGACGTGTAGGTCTCTTTCACAGATCTTAACAGAAGATAGTCGTTAGCATCGACTCCTCATTGCACACTTTGAGAATGTTGATAAATTCGTGAATCTTCAATGCGGGCCCAAACCGAGTGCCTGAGCGCAGCGATGGCCGAGGGCCGGGCCCGCATTGGAAGGAGCTTCCAGTTTCTTCGTAAGAATTTGGGCTCTTTTGAAGTTAGGATTTCGAAGTTCGTCATATGTAGTAAGAGAATGGGAACTGGTGCTTGCACCGCTACGATCCGTCATTTTTTGTAGGGCGCGCACGTGGTTACGACGCCAAATCCCGCGGGCGCTTACCAGCCCTCCGCATTCTGAATCCACAGCACTCACCATGGGCAAGCTCAACATCGCGCACCACAAGTCCTACCATCCCTACCGGCTCGACAACATCACGCGCGTGAAGCGCGATGAAGAACAAGCCCGACTAAAAGAATCCCAAGAGGCAGACCGGGCCTTACTAGCCGTAGGTCTTCCTTTCGCCCTGCCTTGTTCCTCCGGCCTTCATTGAACCGACGACGCAGACTGATACGTGCATGATTTGATGAATAGGACTCCGAGGCGCGCATGCTTGCGCTGCGGCAGCGTGCCGGACTCGAGGTTGCGCCCGCCCAAGTAGAAGACACTCCGACACTCGAAGCTGAGTCGGAGCCCAGCGCGAGCACGAGCGCGGGCGTTGTCGCTACACTAGCACCACCTACGTCGTCGTCGCTTTCTTCCAGTGGAAACAGACACATCAATCTCTTCGAAGACCTCGAGCAGGCACGTTGTCGTTTTTCGTGCACGTCGCCTCACAGACTTATGGCTGCCCACAGCAATCCATAGCGATAGCGACCCGCGCCTCGAAGAAGACAGCCGCAGCCGCAGACGCAGAGAAAGGCGTGCCGCTTGGCCCCACGAAGAAAGATCTCAAGCCGTGGTATTCCTCGCGGAAGGGCGACGATGATCCCGCGGATGAGCGTGCAAAGGAAGATGGGCGGAGGTACGTTCTTATGGTTGTCCGATGTTCACAGTCGTACTGATCAAGTTCGCATTTTGTCGTTCAGACGTCGCGACCTCGCACGGAAATCGCACGCAGACCCGCTCGCGTCCATCCCGTCCCACATAACCGCCAACTCCCGACCCTCAAGCTCGAGCTCGCGTCCACGCCCTTCATCGTCATCAGCAGCAAGACCCGCACCGACGCCCGACAATCCTGACCTGTCTGCGCGCCTCACGCGCGAGTCCTCAGAACGGGCGCGCGCACGCGCGCTGATTGAGCGCAAGCGGCGAGAGATGGAGGGCAGCGTGACGGCGACACCCAGTACTGTGCACGGGGGATACGGGGATGTGTTCAACCGCGAGGACGTGGCTGCGGCGCACCGGGGGCGGGATTGGGGACGTAACCGGGGAGGTGGTGGTGGGTGGAGAGATCGCGGGTGGGATGAGGGCGCGAGAGCGGGGAGACGGGATGGGAGGTGGTGATTCAGGCGCGTCGTCATTTTGTTCGTGTGTGTATCATTATACCGTTACCTGGAAGTGTATTATAAAAATTTCTCTTTCGTGTTTTCCGTCGAGGCATCCAACAACAAGACCATGTTCCATTATAATCCTTCCGAAGTAACAGCGAACAGTAAATTACAGTTTTGCCTGGACGTCCTCCTTCACCTCCCGCCCCTGCTCGTCCCTGACGCGCACGACTGCTTTGCCCCATGTCTTCCGGTTCTCGAGGTCGGACAGGGCTTGCCCCACAGTGCCGAGTGTGTAGGTCTTGGCGTATACGCTTGGCTTGACGCGTCCCGAGGATAATAGCCTGAGGTAAGAGCAGTGTGAGCGCGCGCACACATAAAAAGGATGAAGGACTGTGAACGACATACTCTTGTAGCGCTTTCCAAACTTCGGGAATATGCGCGGGGTTCTTCTCTGAGTACGGGGGGCGAGTGATCAGCCATTGTACCGCGACACAATGAGCAGCTTGAGCCGTAGACGTACCGATGTACGAACCCCAGAACACGCCGACAAGAGAGCAGTTCTTGAGCAGGACCAGATTCATAGGAATCTACGACAACTCATCAGAAAACATCCCGCAGAAACAAGAACATGTCTCAGACACCTTTTCGATCTCACCACCCGCGAACCCAACGACAATAGCACGGCCGCCCCATGCGATGCACTTCAGGGACTCTGCATTACAACGCAAGACATTATCATGAGCTAGCCCTCTTCCTTTGAACCAGAGTGGGAACACCTGCCGCGAATCTTGCCGACAGGGTCATAAACGACCTGCACGCCCTTACCGCCCGTAATCTGCATGACTTCCTTCTGCCAGTCCTTCTTCGTGTAGTCGACTGCATAATCAGCCCCGCCTTGCTCAATTGTAACGGAGAGCTTCGACGGTGAGCATGCAGCGATGACTTTCCCGCCAAGGGCTGTTACAGGGAATGTCTCAGGTGCAAGATGAGATAACACTACCAATGAGTGAGACGGACCTTTCGCCAGCTGGACGGCACAAAGTCCAACACCGCCCGCAGCAGCGAGGACGAGGACCCACTCGCCTGTGCAAATTCGTCATGAGCCACGAGTTACACTTCCACACAATCAGGAAGACAGCCACGCTCACCGGGCTGCAGCTTCGCCCTCCCAACGAGCGCCTCATAGCTCGTCGGGTACGTCATGTACAAGCCTGCGCCCTGATCGAACGTCAGCGCATCCGGCAGCGGCTGCAGCGCCGTCCACGGCGTCGCCAGGCGCTCCGCGTACGCGCCGAGCGCACCGCCCCCGAAGACGCGCTGCCCGCGCGCGAATGGGCACCCGGGCGGGATGGGCGACGACTGCGAGATCGTGCCCGCGAACTCGCCGCCGAGGACGAAGGGGAAGGGCGGCTTGGCTTGGTATTTGCCTTGTGCGGAGAGGATCTGGAAGTATACACCAACATCGCAGCAGTCAATATCCACGTGCAACGGCGTAGAAGCTAGTAGGATAGACGTACGTCGAAGAAGTTGCACGCGGCGCTGTGCACGTCGACGAGCACCTGGTTCTTGCCCACCTTGGGCTCGGGCGCATTCTCGTCGAGCGGGATCTGCGAGGGATGCTCGTACTTCGTCACTACAAAGGCCTTCATGTTCGAAGTGTGACTGTAAGTACTAGAAAACCAAGGAGGATTGGTAGTTAGAAGGTCAAGTAGCGGTACAAGTAGAGCCTGAGGTGGTTGTGAATCAGGTTCAGGGAGATCATTTGTGTCTGCAGCCGCCCACTAAATATGCAGCTGCGTCACGGTATGCGGGGTAACCGGATATCACACTCACCACCGGGCGGCTGCACTACCGGCGGTTCCGTTGTGTGCTTTCATGCTTGTAAAGCCTATAAGACAGGACATGGTGCTATTACGTTGTAAGAATGATAACCTTCGATAGCTCAGTTGGAAGAGCGCGAGACTGTAACGGGAAATACGTGATCTTGAGGTCGCTGGTTCGATCCCGGCTCGAAGGACTTTTTTTGTCACCTTAGCAACCAAAGAAGCACACCGCAGTTATTTACCTACAATGTGCATCATCCTCTGCTTCTTCAACGCGTCTTGCTAGCCTCATGTTCAACCGTCCGAGCTGGCATAAGTATATTACCGCGTGCAAAAGTACTAAGATTCAAGTCCGTGCGAATACAATACCGTAGATACATCAACTAAACTGAGACACAAGAAACAAAGACCGAGCTTGCAGCCTCGAGCGCGCGTGCACACATGCATTAGCTACAACTATCTAAGTACATCACCCCCCCGTCGCCGTCACCGTCGCCGTCCCATCCACATCGCTAGTCCGTGCCGAAGCGTCAAAACGGCCTGCTGGTGTAGCTCGGCGGGGGCGGCGACGACCCGCCCGTGTACTGCGCAGGCACGCCGTGAGACAGAGACTGCGGCTGCGTCTGCGGCTGGGGCATCGGCGGTGGCGGCTGGGCCTCGTAGGGATTGTGGAGGTGGTCGTCTGCGCTTGCGAAGGGATCGGGGAGCGGGTTCGGCGGCGACGCCACCCCCTGGGGCGTCCGTTGCGATAGCTCCATCGAGTCGTCGCTCTGCTGACGCACGGGCAGCCGCCCGTCGCCCCGCGGACTTGTCGGGTATTGCACGCCGAGGCCCGCGACGCTCCCGCTTGCGGCGTGTTGGGGCTGCGGTGCGTGTAGTCGCGGGTCTCCGGCGTAGCCTACTGCGCGGCCGTTCGCGTCCCATTGCTGGTACTCAAACTGCTGAGCTTCTGGGTCAGAGTTGAAGCCGGGTGCTGTAAGGGGAATGTCTGAGTCGGATCCGCGAGGGTTGAAGGAGGTAGTTCCTGTTGTTCCGAAGGTTGTGGTACTGGCGTAAGGAAGGTCGGAGCCCTGAAGCTTGACTTGACTAATAGCGACCACAGATGAGCAAGCAAGTAAAGATGCTATAAAAATAGAGGACAAACCGAGCTTTGCGGCGCTCATAGATGACCTGGTGTCTGACTTTGCCCATTTGGCGGTAGATATACCACATGGACACGAAAGTGATGATGACTGTGATTGCAACGACCGCGTCACTCGCAATCTTCTGGCCCGTGGTCTCAGCTGCAGATGCAGGTCAGTTCACGTCTAAAAGCGTTCACAAACATTAACTCACAACTTCCAGTACCGTCGATCAGAACACCGAGGTATACGGTGACAAACTGCTTCGGAAGGGACAGGATGGCTGCGATAGAGAATGTGATCACACCAATACCGCATGTCGAGAATATAGCGGTGGTGACTGTCAGAGCGTAATAATGTCCCGTCGGTGAAACGGCAAACGTTGACATAAGACAAATTGCGTACAATGGCCCGGAATAGCGCTCAGACGTGCTAGGAAGACGATCTTGAAGCCTCCTTCTCGCACAACCTTGGCGAGGCATGCGTAGGTGATATTGCTCTTCTCGAGCTTTTCGCCACGCGTGCGACAACAGTATTTGAATGCACTGAAAACACCGAAAGTCATGTCAGAAAAGCGCCAGGCGGATAATTATAGGTATACGCACTAATAGGTACCCAATTCACCAAGGAAGGTGCCGGCTGCAACGATGGCGAAGCCGATCCACAGTCCCCAGACAACACCGCAAAGAACGGCGACAACTTCATGACCGAAGAGCTAGCGAGAGGCATCAATAATTCTGTTTCCGAGCCGCCCGCATGAAACGCGATGGCGCTGCCACATAATAAAGCGCTTGAAGACTCACAGGAGGGAAGGAGATGACGAACAGTATTGCGATTGGAATTAGCCATCCACAAGTGAGGCTAAACACGACCGAGGTCAGTAACCCGCGGAAGTCTAGGAGGATAGAGGCGACGTCGAGAAAGAGGCTCGAGCGTGGAAGGCTTGGCATAAAGGCCAAGCGCGGCCGTCCGTGAGGTCAATCCATCACCAGAAGGAGCATGGGTGACGACGCGAGAGAAGCCGGAAGAACAGTAAAACTCACTCTTTCATCCAATTAGCAGCGGGGGTAAGCCATTTTACAATGGTCGTGTGGTAAATGGTGATGAGGGCGGTAAGGACAAGAATGACGGTCAGAGCGAGATAGTACCCTGTTCGGAAGAAACAGAGATTAGTCCAGACAGCTTGGAAGACGAAGACACTACATAGAACGCACATATCCACTCTTTCCGTATCCAAAAGCGCCAATTCATCAGCTTCTTGTAGTCGAACAGGGTATCGCGATCCAGCTCCGCCTGCTCGCTGGGCGTCGGACTGGGGGTGCGGCTTATCCGCCGCGCAGCATCCTCATTCTTCGTCAACTGTACGACATTGACCGTAGAGCTGGAGTTGAGTTCATAAGGCTTGTTGTTGGGGGGAGGGTAGAGGTACGGGTCGTTGGAGCCCTGTGTGGGTCCACCATATGCCTGATATGGGGAAGACATGGAGGTCGTCGTTGAGGCGGGTCGGATAAAGGGATTGGTTTATGAGTGGTATATACGGGCAGGATGCCCGGGGAAGAGGGGAGAGGGGGATGCAGCCAGGCAGGAATATGGTAGTGAGGGACTAAGGAGCTCTATTGACCACAGCTCCCGGCGGCAGTGCCCCGCTTGTTCCCATCCGGTATGTCGTTCCCACGCGGCCTCCTCCATGCACAGCTCCCCCCTCACGACTGCTGCGCTTTCCGCATCCCCCCTCGGCCAAGGCGCGTCAAAAGGTCCATGCAGGGGCGCCCTCAGCCCCGCCTTTTGTTCCAAAAACAAAAAAACAAGCCCCCTTTCCGCCCGAATTCGCTCACCTTGTCCCTAGGATCTCCGGATAGAATTCCCGGTGGTTACCTTATTCTCTGGAAGGCCTTCTGCGAACTGCGGTTCCATTCTATGCCTGCCTATCGGATTGCCCGCTCGTGGAGTTCGTAATTCGAGGCCCATCGCTCTGTACATTCGCTGCTCCACGCCTGGCTGTGGATAGTCTGCCTCGCGTTCACCGCGCGCAGCGCGTGGTACGTCATCTGTTTTGTTCAACTGGTATTGGTGGCTAGATTGCCTGTCTAATCTCTAACAGTGGTGACGGCGTTCGTTCTGTGTTGGCGTCGCGATATTGACCCTGCAGCACCGCACTCCGGGGAACTCCAGCTCACGCAGGTCAAAATGAGGTTCTCGAGATCGTTACCGCAGCATTCTTTTTCCCCACCATCAACCATACACGTCGCAAATGCTGCAATCCGGGGAGTGCATTCCCAGGTGTGGCGAATTATACCGCTCGTATACTTATCGTATCGAAGCCACCATCTTAGAGCGTCATCTACACAGCCGCGGATTGGACCAATAGGGCGTTTCAGCTGAGCCGTATCGCATGGCGGTCCCGATGTTGGACACTGGGCGTAATGACGATCTGTCACGAAGCTCTTGAGTATCCATGACGGACGCTGATGCGGCATCAAAACTGTGCGGGCCTGACATTCCCTATAGGCAATTTGGCAGCTTTCTTCGCCGCTTCAGTCTTTCCGGGCGCAGCATACATAAAGTGTCAACTTGCGAGCTATATCACCTGTGCGTCTTCAGCCCCCCGCTCATTTCATCCTGCATGCTTTCCGCTGCATTCGTTCGCTCCGTCTTTATATATCCGTAACCTGCGATATTGATATCTTGTCACTGGGGAATCTGGAAGATGCTGGGATATACTGTTGGAAAAGGCGATATCTGCCCTGCCATGTACTGATGTCGATTCCGTGTTGATCGAGTTGCTAGGTGGCCAATCCTGTAACATATCCAAATGTAGGCTACATCTTATCAACAGTCTGGATCATTGGAGATATCTCGAGGGGCCATACGGCAGAGCCGTCTATCTTGTTAGGGTGCTTGCTAGCTGTACGAAGCTCTCCGACTTCGAACATATTGTTATAGAAATGCTTGGACACAGAGTACTTATACAAACAAAAGAGGAGATATGTGGGTATACATGTACCAGAGATGCGTGGTGGTATCGTATGGTATACAATCTTGATTTTGAAATGTGTGGTAGTGTTATGATATTGTATACAGTCAAGATTCTGGAATGCGCGATAATGTCATGGACTCGTCGCGCTCACGGATACGGCATGTCCGTTTCAGCTCCCTCGGCACGATATCGGTGTTGCTGAGATCTGCTTTTCTCTTCATCCCCAGCGACTGCGAGGTGGACGACGTTTTTCTGAGCTGGTCTTCGCTGCCGTCGTCCGTGCCCCAGCAGTCCATTGCGAGGTATCTTTTCATGACATCAAGATAGTGAGTGGCTGTTTTGATCTGTTCCTCGGCCTTCTCTTTCTCGCAGTACTCGCTCCCCAGCTCGTCGCGGTCTGCATAGAAGAAATGAAATGGCCTGCGGAGCTCCTGGACAAGTCCAGACAGATGCGCGGGCATCGCAGCCTTGATTTCACGAGGGCGGAAGAGGGCGTATGAGAAGAACGACTCCTTTCCTGAGCCGCCCAGGACGTCACTGCCGTTTTCCTGCTCCTCGGTGCTATCGTAAATTTGATCCATATGATGACGGTAGCTGGGAAGGTTCCATGGGCGATACCGGAGGATGTGATACGTGATGACGTGGTCAAAGGACTCCAGGTCATCCCAATATCTGTGAACTTTGTCTTTTTTCTTGAGGATCGCCGCTGAGATGAACCGCCAAGTTCCCTGATTACGTTCTCATCAGTGCGTTGGCCATACAGAAAGAGAAAGCCTTACAGTGCGCCATTTCCTGCGGGCCTTCTCCAGCGCCTCCGTCCCTTTCGACATATCCCAGTCTATCAGTATGCCGCGACTCGTGTTGCCGTCTCGGACGATGAGTACATTGCCCCCACTTATGTCGCGATGCAGAATTTTTGCCCGCGAGAAGGCATCGGAATGCGCTATTGAGGAACATTCAGAGGAGGCTTTAGCAGAATCTAGAGCTGACAGTCGAGGACGCACGCACCAACAAGAGCGTCATGAGCCACCTGCACCAGCTCCTTCGTCGAACGGAATTTCTTCAGCGGATGTCCGATGGTTCCCAGGACCAAGCG